AACGGGCCGAGAAAGGGGCCGGGGAAGGGCCTGGGCGGGCCGCGAAGGGGCCTAACGGGCCACGAAGGGGCCGCGACAAGCCGCGACGGGGCCTAACGGGCCGAGAAAGGGGCCGGGGAAGGGCCTGGGCGGGCCGCGAAGGGGCGTAACGGGCCGCGACAAGCCGCGACGGGGCCTAACGGGCCGAGAAAGGGGCCGGGGAAGGGCCTGGGCGGGCCGCAAAGGGGCCTAACGGGCCGCGAAGGGGCCGCGACAAGCCGCGACTGGGCCTAACGGGCCGAGAAAGGGGCCGGGGAAGGGCCTGGGCGGGCCGCGAAGGGGCCTAACGGGCCGCGAAAGGGGGCCGCGACGGACCTAACGGGCCGCGACAGGGTCGGGGCAGGGCCGGGGTCGGGGCAGGTCCGGGACAGGGCCGGGACGGGGCCGAGGAAGGGCCGGGGCGGGCCGCGAAGGGGCCTAACGGGCCGCGAAGGGGCCGCGACAAGCCGCGACTGGGCCTAACAGGCCGAGAAAGGGGCCGGGGAAGGGCCTGGGCGGGCCGCTAAGGGGCCTAACGGGCCGCGAAGGGGCCGCGACAAGCCGCGACGGGGCCTAACGGGCCGAGAAAGGGGCCGGGGAAGGGCCTGGGCGGGCCGCGAAGGGGCCTAACGGGCCGCGAAGGGGCCGCGACAGGGTCGGGGCAGGTCCGGGACAGGGCCGGGACGGGGCCGAGAAAGGGCCGGGGCGGGCCGCGAAGGGGCCTAACGGGCCGCGAAGGGGCCGCGTCAAGCCACGACGGGGCCTAACGGGCCGAGAAAGGGGCCGGGGAAGGGCCTGGGCGGGCCGCGAAGGGGCCTAATGGGCCGCGAAGGGGCCGCGACAAGCCGCGACGGGGCCTAACGGGCCGAGAAAGGGGCCGGGGAAGGGCCTGGGAGGGCCGCGAAGGGGCCTAACGGGCCGCGAAGGGGCCGCGACGGGGCCTAACGGGCCGAGAAAGGGGCCGGGGAAGGGCCTGGGCGGGCCGCAAAGGGGCCTAACGGGCCGCGAAGGGGCCGCGACAAGCCGCGACGGGGCCTAACGGGCCGAGAAAGGGGCCGGGGAAGGGCCTGGGCGGGCCGCGAAGGGGCCTAACGGGCCGCGAAGGGGGGCCGCGACGGACCTAACGGGCCGCGACAGGGTCGGGGCAGGGCCGGGGTCGGGGCAGGTCCGGGACAGGGCCGGGACGGGGCCGAGGAAGGGCCGGGGCGGGCCGCGAAGGGGCCTAACGGGCCGCGAAGGGGCCGCGACAAGCCGCGACGGGGCCTAACGGGCCGAGAAAGGGGCCCGGGAAGGGCCTGGGCGGGCCGCGAAGGGGCCTAACGGGCCGCGAAGGGGCCGCGACAGGGTCGGGGCAGGTCCGGGACAGGGCCGGGACGGGGCCGAGGAAGGGCCGGGGCGGGCCGCGAAGGGGCCTAACGGGCCGCGAAGGGGCCGCGACAAGCCACGACGGGGCCTAACGGGCCGAGAAAGGGGCCGGGGAAGGGCCTGGGCGGGCCGCGAAGGGGCCTAATGGGCCACGAAGGGGCCGCGACAAGCCGCGACGGGGCCTAACGGGCCGAGAAAGGGGCCGGGGAAGGGCCTGGGAGGGCCGCGAAGGGGCCTAACGGGCCGCGAAGGGGCCGCGACAAGCCGCGACGGGGCCTAACGGGCCGAGAAAGGGGCCGGGGAAGGGCCTGGGCGGGCCGCGAAGGGGCCTAACGGGCCGCGAAGGGGGGCCGCGACGGACCTAACGGGCCGCGACAGGGTCGGGGCAGGGCCGGGGTCGGGGCAGGTCCGGGACAGGGCCGGGACGGGGCCGAGGAAGGGCCGGGGCGGGCCGCGAAGGGGCCTAACGGGCCGCGAAGGGGCCGCGACAAGCCGCGACGGGGCCTAACGGGCCGAGAAAGGGGCCGGGGAAGGGCCTGGGCGGGCCGCGAAGGGGCCTAACGGGCCGCGAAGGGGCCGCGACAGGGTCGGGGCAGGTCCGGGACAGGGCCGGGACGGGGCCGAGGAAGGGCCGGGGCGGGCCGCGAAGGGGCCTAACGGGCCGCGAAGGGGCCGCGACAAGCCACGACGGGGCCTAACGGGCCGAGAAAGGGGCCGGAGAAGGGCCTGGGCGGGCCGCGAAGGGGCCTAACGGGCCGCGAAGGGGCCGCGACAAGCCGCGACGGGGCCTAACGGGCCGAGAAAGGGGCCGGGGAAGGGCCTGGGTGGGCCGCGAAGGGGCCTAACGGGCCGCGAAGGGGCCGCGACAAGCCGCGACGGGGCCTAACGGGCCGAGAAAGGGGCCGGGGAAGGGCCTGGGCAGGCCGCGAAGGGGCCTAACGGGCCGCGAAGGGGCCGCGACAAGCCGCGACGGGGCCTAACGGGCCGAGAAAGGGGCCGGGGAAGGGCCTGGGCGGGCCGCAAAGGGGCCTAACGGGCCGCGAAGGGGCCGCGACAAGCCGCGACGGGGCCTAACGGGCCGAGAAAGGGGCCGGGGAAGGGCCTGGGCGGGCCGCAAAGGGGCCTAACGGGCCGCGAAGGGGCCGCGACAAGCCGCGACGGGGCCTAACGGGCCGAGAAAGGGGCCGGGGAAGGGCCTGGGCGGGCCGCGAAGGGGCCTAACGGGCCGCGAAGGGGGGCCGCGACGGACCTAACGGGCCGCGACAGGGTCGGGGCAGGGCCGGGGTCGGGGCAGGTCCGGGACAGGGCCGGGACGGGGCCGAGGAAGGGCCGGGGCGGGCCGCGAAGGGGCCTAACGAGGGGCCGCGAAGGGGCCTAATGAGGGGCCGCGAAGGGCCTTACGAGGGGCCGCGAAGGGCCGTTAAGGGCAGGCGCGACGCGCGCCTAGGGTAGGAAAAAATTCAGTGGTGGGCCCAAGGATCGAAAAACAGCTCTATACTATGTGAGAATAATTGACGAAAGGAATGAGGATGAATTCACTAGCAAACATTGGGATACATATAGAAAACCCTAACAAGGTTGTACTCGCTACAAAGTACCCCACTGCAGACTAGAGAAACATAATATTCTGACAATATGTTCCTTGTCCTGCTCGTTGTTCCACTCCTGGGCCTGAACATAAACGAACGGGGTGACATCGAGAGATGGATGGGTGCGCAAAACATGCGTTCGACGAAGATGCCAAGTGCTCGACAGATACATACCTCGATCAGCCACAGCTCCGCCTTAGGAAAGATGTTCTCCTCGATAGCCTTCATGACCTTCGGGGGACTTTGGTCTTCGATCTTCCGGTGTAATAGTCGCCCGGTTCCTGCGAGAAACCCGCTTGCATCTGGATGGCCGGGCGCAGGATGCCTGTGAGGTATGACCTGCGCATCTCGTTCATGTCCCATTTGCCGGAATAACGAACGAGAATAAATGAACTAGCAAACAGTTGGGTACAAGTACTAACCCTAATTAGGTTGTACCCCTTATGGGCTACGACACTACAGCCTACACAAATGTATAAGCTATAATGTTTTGACACACCCCCATAGGCAAAGTGGGTGAGAACAAGTGGTCACAAGACCAGTCAAGAAAAACAAAGCAAGCTCAGGGTGGATCACAAAGTCACCACACAGTCCGAGCACAAGCAAAGAGCCACAAGGCCAGTTCACAACCAGAGTTATATAAAGAGAACAAACAAGACAGTGATCATACCCTAGCAAGTGCAAGCATGCAGATATATATATAGATCACAGTACAAGCAGAGTCAAGCAATAAGCAAGTGAGGCAAAGTAGGCACAAGGCCTAACACAGTAACAAAGTGCTGATGATCACCAGACGGAAGTGCCTTGGTGAAGACATCAGCAGTGTTGGCCTAAGTGGCCACGTACGCAAGACGAAGCTGGCCACGCTGCTGCAACTATCGAGCAAGGAAGTATCACAGAGCGATGTGCTTCGTTCTGTGCTCCAGTCTGTGCTCCTGACACAAGGCAATCATGGCCTTGTTGTCTACGTACAAAACTGGAGGCGAACGAGGCTGCTCTCCCAAGTCGGTCAACAGGTAGGTGAGCCAGCGTAGCTCCTGAGCAGCCATGGCCCCAGCGTAGATCTCAGCCTCACAACTAGAGCTGAGAACCAAAGACGAGCGGGTAGACTGCCAAGAAACAGAGCCGGAACCAAGGCTGAAGGTGTAACCCTGTGACGATCGCTGCGTAGCTGAGTCGTCAACCCAGAAGGCGTCTGCGTGACCGGTGAGGACAACTGGACCCCGTCCTCCAAGCACGAGCCCCATGCCCGACGTACTGCACAAGTAACGCAGTACCCTCTTCGCAGCATCCCAGTGCACCTTTCGGTGCCTGCCGGGAGCCACGTAGCGAGCCAGGAGGCTGAGAGGGTACGCGAGGTCGGGTCGAGTGCACGTCATCAGGTACATGAGGCAACCCACAAGCTATGGGTATGGACCACTCGGCTCTACGGACTCGTCCGAAGGTGGAGCTGAGAGGGAGTGGCTGGTAGACAGAGGAGTGAGCTGTGGCGAGGAGAACTGGAAGCCAAAACGCTGAAGGACCTGGTGCACCATGTGTGACTGAGTCAGGGTAATGGTGCGCTGAGCTGTGTCCCGGGTGATCTGCAAGCTAAGATAGTTGCGCAGTTCAAATAGGTCAGTGCAGGTCTGTCTCTTCTGCAGCTCCGACTTCACAAGGGTCAGTGCCTCAGTGTCAGCAGTGGCAAAGATGAGGTCGTCGATATAGACAAGGGCGTAGAACGGCGGCAGCGAGGTGTCGGTGCGTAGAAACAGCGACGGGTCAGCAGTAGAAGGAGCAAACCCAAGAGCCGCAAGTGTAGTCCTCAGTGTGTCGTGCCACTCGCGAGGCGCCTGGCGGAGACCGTAGACTGGCCGCCGAAGACTCCACTGAGTACCAGCAGGAAAAGACTCAGTGAAACCAGGTGGGCGGCGCAACCAGATCTCCTCATGCAGGCTGCCCTGCAGGAAAGCTGTGCTGAAGTCCAGAGAGTGCAACTCGTACTCCTCTCATGCCGGGCATCTTCACCTGCCTCCTCATACTCCTCTCATGCCGGGCATCTTCACCTGCCTCCTCATACTCCTCTCATGCCGGGCATCTTCACCTGCCTCCTCATACTCCTCTCATGCCGGGCATCTTCACCTGCCTCCTCATACTCCTCTCATGCCGGGCATCTTCACCTGCCTCCTCATACTCCTCTCATGCCGGGCATCTTCACCTGCCTCCTCATACTCCTCTCATGCCGGGCATCTTCACCTGCCTCCTCATACTCCTCTCATGCCGGGCATCTTCACCTGCCTCCTCATACTCCTCTCATGCCGGGCATCTTCACCTGCCTCCTCATACTCCTCTCATGCCGGGCATCTTCACCTGCCTCCTCATACTCCTCTCATGCCGGGCATCTTCACCTGCCTCCTCATACTCCTCTCATGCCGGGCATCTTCACCTGCCTCCTCATACTCCTCTCATGCCGGGCATCTTCACCTGCCTCCTCATACTCCTCTCATGCCGGGCATCTTCACCTGCCTCCTCATACTCCTCTCATGCCGGGCATCTTCACCTGCCTCCTCATACTCCTCTCATGCCGGGCATCTTCACCTGCCTCCTCATACTCCTCTCATGCCGGGCATCTTCACCTGCCTCCTCATACTCCTCTCATGCCGGGCATCTTCACCTGCCTCCTCATACTCCTCTCATGCCGGGCATCTTCACCTGCCTCCTCATACTCCTCTCATGCCGGGCATCTTCACCTGCCTCCTCATACTCCTCTCATGCCGGGCATCTTCACCTGCCTCCTCATACTCCTCTCATGCCGGGCATCTTCACCTGCCTCCTCATACTCCTCTCATGCCGGGCATCTTCACCTGCCTCCTCATACTCCTCTCATGCCGGGCATCTTCACCTGCCTCCTCATACTCCTCTCATGCCGGGCATCTTCACCTGCCTCCTCATACTCCTCTCATGCCGGGCATCTTCACCTGCCTCCTCATACTCCTCTCATGCCGGGCATCTTCACCTGCCTCCTCATACTCCTCTCATGCCGGGCATCTTCACCTGCCTCCTCATACTCCTCTCATGCCGGGCATCTTCACCTGCCTCCTCATACTCCTCTCATGCCGGGCATCTTCACCTGCCTCCTCATACTCCTCTCATGCCGGGCATCTTCACCTGCCTCCTCATACTCCTCTCATGCCGGGCATCTTCACCTGCCTCCTCATACTCCTCTCATGCCGGGCATCTTCACCTGCCTCCTCATACTCCTCTCATGCCGGGCATCTTCACCTGCCTCCTCATACTCCTCTCATGCCGGGCATCTTCACCTGCCTCCTCATACTCCTCTCATGCCGGGCATCTTCACCTGCCTCCTCATACTCCTCTCATGCCGGGCATCTTCACCTGCCTCCTCATACCCCTCTCATGCCGGGCATCTTCACCTGCCTCCTCATACTCCTCTCATGCCGGGCATCTTCACCTGCCTCCTCATACGCCTCTCATGCCGGGCATCTTCACCTGCCTCCTCATACTCCTCTCATGCCGGGCATCTTCACCTGCCTCCTCATACTCCTCTCATGCCGGGCATCTTCACCTGCCTCCTCATACGCCTCTCATGCCGGGCATCTTCACCTGCCTCCTCATACTCCTCTCATGCCGGGCATCTTCACCTGCCTCCTCATACTCCTCTCATGCCGGGCATCTTCACCTGCCTCCTCATACGCCTCTCATGCCGGGCACCTTCACCTGCCTCCTCATACTCCTCTCATGCCGGGCATCTTCACCTGCCTCCTCATACGCCTCTCATGCCGGGCACCTTCACCTGCCTCCTCATACGCCTCTCATGCCGGGCATCTTCACCTGCCTCCTCATACTCCTCTCATGCCGGGCACCTTCACCTGCCTCCTCATACGCCTCTCATGCCGGGCACCTTCACCTGCCTCCTCATACTCCTCTCATGCCGGGCATCTTCACCTGCCTCCTCATACTCCTCTCATGCCGGGCAGCTTCACCTGCCTCCTCATACTCCTCTCATGCCGGGCATCTTCACCTGCCTCCTCATACTCCTCTCATGCCGGGCATCTTCACCTGCCTCCTCATACTCCTCTCATGCCGGGCATCTTCACCTGCCTCCTCATACTCCTCTCATGCCGGGCATCTTCACCTGCCTCCTCATACTCCTCTCATGCCGGGCATCTTCACCTGCCTCCTCATACTCCTCTCATGCCGGGCATCTTCACCTGCCTCCTCATACTCCTCTCATGCCGGGCATCTTCACCTGCCTCCTCATACTCCTCTCATGCCGGGCATCTTCACCTGCCTCCTCATACTCCTCTCATGCCGGGCATCTTCACCTGCCTCCTCATACTCCTCTCATGCCGGGCATCTTCACCTGCCTCCTCATACTCCTCTCATGCCGGGCATCTTCACCTGCCTCCTCATACTCCTCTCATGCCGGGCATCTTCACCTGCCTCCTCATACTCCTCTCATGCCGGGCATCTTCACCTGCCTCCTCATACGCCTCTCATGCCGGGCATCTTCACCTGCCTCCTCATACGCCTCTCATGCCGGGCATCTTCACCTGCCTCCTCATACTCCTCTCATGCCGGGCATCTTCACCTGCCTCCTCATACTCCTCTCATGCCGGGCATCTTCACCTGCCTCCTCATACGCCTCTCATGCCGGGCATCTTCACCTGCCTCCTCATACGCCTCTCATGCCGGGCACCTTCACCTGCCTCCTCATACTCCTCTCATGCCGGGCATCTTCACCTGCCTCCTCATACTCCTCTCATGCCGGGCATCTTCACCTGCCTCCTCATACTCCTCTCATGCCGGGCATCTTCACCTGCCTCCTCATACTCCTCTCATGCCGGGCATCTTCACCTGCCTCCTCATACTCCTCTCATGCCGGGCATCTTCACCTGCCTCCTCATACTCCTCTCATGCCGGGCATCTTCACCTGCCTCCTCATACTCCTCTCATGCCGGGCATCTTCACCTGCCTCCTCATACTCCTCTCATGCCGGGCATCTTCACCTGCCTCCTCATACTCCTCTCATGCCGGGCATCTTCACCTGCCTCCTCATACTCCTCTCATGCCGGGCATCTTCACCTGCCTCCTCATACTCCTCTCATGCCGGGCATCTTCACCTGCCTCCTCATACTCCTCTCATGCCGGGCATCTTCACCTGCCTCCTCATACTCCTCTCATGCCGGGCATCTTCACCTGCCTCCTCATACTCCTCTCATGCCGGGCATCTTCACCTGCCTCCTCATACTCCTCTCATGCCGGGCATCTTCACCTGCCTCCTCATACCCCTCTCATGCCGGGCATCTTCACCTGCCTCCTCATACTCCTCTCATGCCGGGCATCTTCACCTGCCTCCTCATACTCCTCTCATGCCGGGCATCTTCACCTGCCTCCTCATACCCCTCTCATGCCGGGCATCTTCACCTGCCTCCTCATACTCCTCTCATGCCGGGCATCTTCACCTGCCTCCTCATACTCCTCTCATGCCGGGCATCTTCACCTGCCTCCTCATACTCCTCTCATGCCGGGCATCTTCACCTGCCTCCTCATACTCCTCTCATGCCGGGCATCTTCACCTGCCTCCTCATACTCCTCTCATGCCGGGCATCTTCACCTGCCTCCTCATACTCCTCTCATGCCGGGCATCTTCACCTGCCTCCTCATACTCCTCTCATGCCGGGCATCTTCACCTGCCTCCTCATACTCCTCTCATGCCGGGCATCTTCACCTGCCTCCTCATACTCCTCTCATGCCGGGCATCTTCACCTGCCTCCTCATACTCCTCTCATGCCGGGCATCTTCACCTGCCTCCTCATACTCCTCTCATGCCGGGCATCTTCACCTGCCTCCTCATACTCCTCTCATGCCGGGCATCTTCACCTGCCTCCTCATACTCCTCTCATGCCGGGCATCTTCACCTGCCTCCTCATACTCCTCTCATGCCGGGCATCTTCACCTGCCTCCTCATACCCCTCTCATGCCGGGCATCTTCACCTGCCTCCTCATACTCCTCTCATGCCGGGCATCTTCACCTGCCTCCTCATACCCCTCTCATGCCGGGCATCTTCACCTGCCTCCTCATACTCCTCTCATGCCGGGCATCTTCACCTGCCTCCTCATACTCCTCTCATGCCGGGCATCTTCACCTGCCTCCTCATACTCCTCTCATGCCGGGCATCTTCACCTGCCTCCTCATACTCCTCTCATGCCGGGCATCTTCACCTGCCTCCTCATACTCCTCTCATGCCGGGCATCTTCACCTGCCTCCTCATACTCCTCTCATGCCGGGCATCTTCACCTGCCTCCTCATACTCCTCTCATGCCGGGCATCTTCACCTGCCTCCTCATACTCCTCTCATGCCGGGCATCTTCACCTGCCTCCTCATACTCCTCTCATGCCGGGCATCTTCACCTGCCTCCTCATACTCCTCTCATGCCGGGCATCTTCACCTGCCTCCTCATACTCCTCTCATGCCGGGCATCTTCACCTGCCTCCTCATACTCCTCTCATGCCGGGCATCTTCACCTGCCTCCTCATACTCCTCTCATGCCGGGCATCTTCACCTGCCTCCTCATACTCCTCTCATGCCGGGCATCTTCACCTGCCTCCTCATACTCCTCTCATGCCGGGCATCTTCACCTGCCTCCTCATACTCCTCTCATGCCGGGCATCTTCACCTGCCTCCTCATACTCCTCTCATGCCGGGCATCTTCACCTGCCTCCTCATACTCCTCTCATGCCGGGCATCTTCACCTGCCTCCTCATACTCCTCTCATGCCGGGCATCTTCACCTGCCTCCTCATACTCCTCTCATGCCGGGCATCTTCACCTGCCTCCTCTCTGCTTGCCTCGTGCAGGTAATGTGTGGTGCAGGCAATGCGTGGTGCAGGCAATGCGTGGTGCAGGCAATGCGTGGTGCAGGTAATGCGTGGTGCAGGTAATGCGTGGTGCAGGTAATGCGTGGTGGAGGTAATGCGTGGTGCAGGTAATGCGTGGTGCAGGTAATGCGTGGTGCAGGTAATGCGTGGTGCAGGTAATGCGTGGTGCAGATAATGCGTGGTGCAGGTAATGCGTGGTGCAGGTAATGCGTGGTGCAGGTAATGCGTGGTGCAGGTAATGCGTGGTGCAGGTAATGCGTGGTGCAGGTAATGCCTGGTGCAGGCACCACATACACACCGCATGTCACCGGCATGCTTCCTGGGCAACATGCTGCTGCTCTCCTGCTGGGCAACATGCTGCTGCTCTCCTGCTTCACTGCGGTGGGAAGGGAGGGAACCCCCACCCAAGTAGGAGCTCAGCAGCCGTTGTCTTGCCCACGTGTTCACCACACATGCCTGCACTGCATTGTTTCGGACCTTTGACGCGCCTGAGAAGTCATCACGTATGCCTTCACTGCATTGTTTCGGACCTTTGACGCGCCTGAGAAGTCATCACGTATGCCTTCACTGCATTTTTTAGGCGCCTCAAATGCCTGCACTGCATGTGCTGTAAATGCAGCAGGAAACATGAAGCCTGCTGCATGCATGCCTCCTTGTGCCTCCTTCATGTGCTTCGAATGCACTCCCCGTGCCCTCGCCCTCGCCCTCCCTTCCCCCCCCTGTCTATCAGGCAGCAGTAGGAGCCTCCTCCACAGCCTTTCTCCTTGACCACATCTTCCTTGTGGGCTGCATGCCCACACCACCGCTCACCACCGCTCACCATCATCTGCCTGCGATACGAATCACACGCCGCCACCAGCACTCTCCGCCCTCAACCACCATCCTCCCCCTTCCACCCCCTATCCTCCCCCCCTTCTCCACTTCCCCCTCCCGCCCCTTACCCCCTCCCCGTGCCAGGTGGTAGGAGAAGCCTCCACGGCCGTCCTCCTCTCTAAGGTCTACCTTGCGGGGTTCATGCCGCCACCAGCATTCACAGCCGTGGCCGCCTATCACCTACTCTCCCACCCCTCACCACCGCACCAACCCCGCCCCCCCTTGCCAGGTGGTAGGAGCGGCCTCCACAGCCGTCCTCCTCTCCCAACTCTTCATAGCGGGGTTCATGCCGCCCCCAGCGTTCACAGCAGTGGTGGCCTATCTGCTGCTCGCCTGTGCTGTCACCGCCTTTCCCCTGTCCTCTTCCCTTACCCCCCTCTTCTTACTACTCCCTCTATCAGGTAGTGGGAGCAGCCTCCACAGCCATCCTGCTCTCCCAAGTGTACCTAGCGGGGTTCATGCCGCCACCAGCATTCACAGCAGTGGCGGCCTACCTGCTGCTCGGCTGTGCCGTCAACTGCCTGCGCTTCACCCGTCGCCTTCCCCAGCCCCTGTGGGACACGTGGCAGGACGTGATTGGCGTTCTGGGCCTCGCCGTGCTGCCGCAGGTGGGGGGAAACAGCTCTTTGCAAATGCGAACATAATATCCTTTCCTCTCTCATCCGTTTGTGCTAATTTCGGACTTATCTCGTATTCTTCCTTGCGTTCAAAGCACATTACAAGCGTTCCCCCATCTCCCGTTCCCCCATCTCCCGTTCCCCCATCTCCCGTTCCCCCATCTCCCGTTCCCCCATCTCCCGTTCCCCCATCTCCCGTTCCCCCATCTCCCGTTCCCCCATCTCCCGTTCCCCCATCTCCCGTTCCCCCATCTCCCGTTCCCCCATCTCCCGTTCCCCCATCTCCCGTTCCCCCATCTCCCGTTCCCCCATCTCCCGTTCCCCCATCTCCCGTTCCCCCATCTCCCGTTCCCCCATCTCCCGTTCCCCCATCTCCCGTTCCCCCATCTCTCTCCCGTTCCCCATCTCCCGTTCCCCCCAATCTCCGTTCCCCCATCTCACCGTTCCCCCATCTCCCGTTCCCCATCTCCCGTTCCCCATCTCCGTTCCCCATCGCCCGTTCCCCCATCTCCCGTTCCCCCATCTCCGTTCCCCCATCTCCCGTTCCCCATCTCCCGTTCCCCCATCTCCCGTTCCCCCATCTCCCTTTCCCCCTCTCCCGTCTCCCCCATCTCCCGTTCCCCCATCTCCCGTTCCCCCATCTCCCGTCCCGTTCCCCCATCTCCCGTTCCCCCATCTCCCGTTCCCCCATCTCCCGTTCCCCCATCTCCCGTTCCCCCATCTCCCGTTCCCCCATCTCCCGTTCCCCCCATCTCCCGTTCCCCCATCTCCCGTTCCCCCATCTCCCGTTCCCCCATCTCCCGTTCCCCCATCTCCCGTTCCCCCATCTCCCGTTCCCCCATCTCCCGTTCCCCCATCTCCCGTTCCCCCATCTCCCGTTCCCCCATCTCCCGTTCCCCCATCTCCCGTTCCCCCATCTCCCGTTCCCCCCATCTCCCGTTCCCCCATCTCCCGTTCCCCATCTCCCCGTTCCCCATCTCCCGTTCCCCCATCTCCCGTTCCCCCATCTCCCGTTCCCCCATCTCCCGTTCCCCCATCTCCCGTTCCCCCATCTCCCGTTCCCCCATCTCCCGTTCCCCCATCTCCCGTTCCCCCATCTCCCGTTCCCCCATCTCCGTTCCCCCCATCTCCCGTTCCCCCATCTCCCGTTCCCCCATCTCCCGTTCCCCCATCTCCCGTTCCCCCATCTCCCGTTCCCCCATCTCCCGTTCCCCCATCTCCCGTTCCCCCATCTCCCGTTCCCCCATCTCCCGTTCCCCCATCTCCCGTTCCCCCATCTCCCGTTCCCCCATCTCCCGTTCCCCCATCTCCCGTTCCCCCATCTCCCGTTCCCCCATCTCCCGTTCCCCCATCTCCCGTTCCCCCATCTCCCGTTCCCCCATCTCCCGTTCCCCCATCTCCCGTTCCCCCATCTCCCGTTCCCCCATCTCCCGTTCCCCCATCTCCCGTTCCCCCATCTCCCGTTCCCCCATCTCCCGTTCCCCCATCTCCCGTTCCCCCATCTCCCGTTCCCCCATCTCCCGTTCCCCCATCTCCCGTTCCCCCATCTCCCGTTCCCCCATCTCCCGTTCCCCCATCTCCCGTTCCCCATCTCCCGTTCCCCCATCTCCCGTTCCCCCATCTCCCGTTCCCCCATCTCCCGTTCCCCCATCTCCCGTTCCCCCATCTCCCGTTCCCCCATCTCCCGTTCCCCCATCTCCCGTTCCCCCATCTCCCGTTCCCCCATCTCCCGTTCCCCCATCTCCCGTTCCCCCATCTCCCGTTCCCCCATCTCCCGTTCCCGCCCATCTCCCGTTCCCCCATCTCCCGTTCCCCCATCTCCCGTTCCCCCATCTCCCGTTCCCCCATCTCCCGTTCCCCCATCTCCGTTCCCCCATCTCCCGTTCCCCCATCTCCCGTTCCCCCATCTCCCGTTCCCCCATCTCCCGTTCCCCATCTCCCGTTCCCCCATCTCCCGTTCCCCATCTCCCGTTCCCCCATCTCCCGTTCCCCCATCTCCCGTTCCCCCATCTCCCGTTCCCCATCTCCCGTTCCCCCATCTCCCGTTCCCCCATCTCCCGTTCCCCCATCTCCCGTTCCCCCATCTCCCGTTCCCCCATCTCCCGTTCCCCCATCTCCCGTTCCCCCATCTCCCGTTCCCCCATCTCCCGTTCCCCCATCTCCCGTTCCCCATCTCCCGTTCCCCCATCTCCCGTTCCCCCATCTCCCGTTCCCCCATCTCCCGTTCCCCCATCTCCCGTTCCCCCATCTCCCGTTCCCCCATCTCCCGTTCCCCCATCTCCCGTTCCCCCATCTCCCGTTCCCCCATCTCCCGTTCCCCCATCTCCCGTTCCCCCATCTCCCGTTCCCCCATCTCCCGTTCCCCCATCTCCCGTTCCCCCATCTCCCGTTCCCCCATCTCCCGTTCCCCCATCTCCCGTTCCCCCATCTCCCGTTCCCCCATCTCCCGTTCCCCCATCTCCCGTTCCCCCATCTCCCGTTCCCCCATCTCCCGTTCCCCCATCTCCCGTTCCCCCATCTCCCGTTCCCCCATCTCCCGTTCCCCCATCTCCCGTTCCCCCATCTCCCGTTCCCCCATCTCCCGTTCCCCCATCTCCCGTTCCCCCATCTCCCGTTCCCCCATCTCCCGTTCCCCCATCTCCCGTTCCCCCATCTCCCGTTCCCCCATCTCCCGTTCCCCCATCTCCCGTTCCCCCATCTCCCGTTCCCCCATCTCCCGTTCCCCCATCTCCCGTTCCCCCATCTCCCGTTCCCCCATCTCCCGTTCCCCCATCTCCCGTTCCCCCATCTCCCGTTCCCCCATCTCCCGTTCCCCATCTCCCGTTCCCCCATCTCCCGTTCCCCCATCTCCCGTTCCCCCATCTCCCGTTCCCCCATCTCCCGTTCCCCCATCTCCCGTTCCCCCATCTCCCGTTCCCCATCTCCCGTTCCCCCATCTCCCGTTCCCCCATCTCCCGTTCCCCATCTCCCGTTCCCCCATCTCCCGTTCCCCCATCTCCCGTTCCCCCATCTCCCGTTCCCCCATCTCCCGTTCCCCCATCTCCCGTTCCCCCATCTCCCGTTCCCCCATCTCCCGTTCCCCCATCTCCCGTTCCCCATCTCCCGTTCCCCCATCTCCCGTTCCCCCATCTCCCGTTCCCCCATCTCCCGTTCCCCCATCTCCCGTTCCCCCATCTCCCGTTCCCCCATCTCCCGTTCCCCATGCTTCTCTTCCACTCCCCTCCTCCTCTCCCACCCCAAATCCTTTTTTGAGGCGCCCAAAATTTGTGAGGCGATTTTTGAGGCGCCTCAGAAATCTTCTCTTCCACCCCCCCTCCTCCTGTCCCACCCCATATCCTTCTCTTTTTGAGTCCTTCTTACCCTCGTCCCTCCATCTCCCTATCCCATTCTTCATGCCGCTCCTCCCCTCCAGTCCCTCTCCCCGTCTTCTCCCCTTCACCTCTCCAACTCCTCACCTCCCCTTCCCCACTCCCCTCCCCGTACCTCACCGCTCCACTCTCCTCTCCCTCCACCCATCCCCCACCGCTCCCCCCCGCAGGTCATCTGGTCCACCTTCTCCTCCATCAGCACGAAGCTTCCAGGAACCATTTCAGCGGTGGGCGGGCTACTGTTCATAGCGGCCATGCGGAGGGGGCTGGTGGGGCAGCGGTGGCGGGACAGATGGCAGCTGCTGAGTGGCTGGACTGCCACGCTGCTCTTTATGGTCATGCCCGTCGCCCAGCTGCAGGTGCGTGCGCCCACCCCTCTGCACCGCATTGCACCACCCGGTATGTACGCTCCGCACCAGGGGTGGGTGAAGTGAAGCGTGGTGTGGTCACACCGCAGTGCTTTGTGAAGGGGTGACGGTTCATTTCAGAATTCTCAAAGGCGACTCACTCAGGTGCTCCAGCAGATCGAGGTGACTTTTGAGTCGACTCAAAGGTCACCCGGAGTGGGTGAATTGAAGCGTGGTGTGGCCACAGCGCTCTCTGAAAGGGTTACTTTTCAGGATACTCAAAGGCGACCCACTCACTCAGGTACTCCACCAGATCGGCGATTTCTCACAGATCGGTGACTTCTGAGAATTCTCACAAATCGCTCACAAGGAGAAAGGGAAAATCCTCCTAGAGGAAGGGGCTGGGTTTCCTCCTAGATCCCTCAAAACCCTGAAGGAAAAGAAGATAAAAATTCACCTGGATGCACCGCTTTGGCTTCCTTTCTCTCCTCATTTTCCCTCCCTGCTTGGCCACTCTCCCCACCACCATCTCCATCATGCATGCTCACCCCTCAATCCCTCCATCCCTCTCTCTCGTCATCATGGCTAACCAGCAGCGCCTCAATCCCTCTCTTCCACAATTCAATCCCTCTCTCACATCCTTCAATCCCTCTCTCACATCCTATCTTCCTTATCCCCCATGTTGTGCCTCACAAAATGTCCGCCAATCTCACCCTATTCCACTCATTTTCTTCCCTCTCCACTCATCACACCCTCTCCCCGCTCATCCTCCGTCCTCCTTGCTAACCCCACCCCGTTTCCCTTCTCATTCCACCCCTTCACTCCCCCCCTTTCTACTCGACTTCTCCCCCCCCTCCCCACTCACTTCCTCTCCTCTCCCCCTTTTCCCCTCCCACAACTCCCCACCTTTCCCCCCAGGTGTGTTTCACCCGCCCCGTTCAGCTGTCACGCATGGCAGCCCTCTCCCCCCTCTGCCTTCTCCTTACTCCCCTGCTCCCCGATACTCCCCACTCCCTCACTCCTCCCCTCCCCCCAGGAGGTCTTCACCCGCCCTGAGCACCAGGCAACCATGTTAGCTTTGAGGCGCCTCAAAACTAGACTCCCATGCCTGCTCCTCCTTACTTGCCTCCCCCGTTCCACACTCCCCTCTCGCATCAACCCAGGTGTGCTTCACGCGTCCCGACCAGCTAGCGGGCATGTCAGCGCTCTTCTCGCTGCTGGGCATATTTTATCACCCCAACCTCCCCCACCCCACTCCCTCCCTTCTTACCCCCCCCCCACCCCAACCCAGGTGTGCTTCACGCGTCCCGACCAGCTAGCGGGCATGTCAGCGCTCTCCTCGCTGCTGGGCATCGTGGGCAACGGCCTCATGGTGCCGCGGGCTCTTTTCACGCGCGATTTCATTTGGTGAGAGCCCGCTCCTGCCAACCCTTGCTCTCATATCATAGTCACGACATCGTGGGCAACGGCCTCATGGTGCCGCGCGGCTCTAGAGGCGATTGCTCTTCACTTACAACTCGTGCTGCCCCTTATTCTTCTGCTCATGCTGCCGCTCATTCTGCCGCTATTCTGCCACTATTCTGCCGCTCATTCTGCTGCTCATTCTGCCGCTCATGCTGCCCCGCATGCTGCCCCTTGCTCTCCTTCTCAGTCTACTTCCCACCTCCTGCCTGACCTCCACTCTCTTGCTGCACCCTGCCACCCTATGTGCCACATATTCTCCCCCAAGCGATCTCCGTTGCGCCACTACCGCTGCCTGTCACTCTCCAGGGCCACACGCGAGCCGGCATAATCACTGTCTCATCCCCCCCCAGGATGTGTTCTTTTCATCAAATCCCACCTCCCCCCCGTCCCTCAACAGCCATACCTTTCTTGTATTGTCCACCTTCATCCTATCCCCATCTCGCTTGTGGGGTGCAAGCAAACCGGCATTCGCCCACCTTCTTATCAAAGCCCCATGGGATGTGCGGGGTTCATCAAAGCCCCCCGCTCTTCCCATTTCCTCCACACTCAAGCGCTCCTCGTATTGCTCGCCTTCGCCCTATCCCCATCACGCGTGTCGCACGTTCCGTTCCACTACACGTGGGCCGCCATTCTCAATGTCTCCTGCCACGGGATGTGCTGCCTTCATCAATGCCCACCTCGGCATTCCCTCGACCATTCAAGTGTGTGACACGCTCTTGTGTCATCCCTCTGGGGCTACACTTGAGCCGCTGTTCTCAACATCCCTCTGCAACTGGCTGTGCTGCCCTTCACCCCTCCCCTTCTCAACTCCCTCCCTTCCCCCCGTCCCCCCCTTTACCCTCCCCTTCCGATGTACACACTCTCTGGGCGAGTATGATTTCCCTCATGTTGCCCCTCACCTGTCTCATCCCACCCATTCCCGTAATGCTTGTGTCAGGTTTCTGGGTTGTTCCTGGGGCTGCATTCTCATGGGCTGGGGTGTTCTCCTCGCCATGGCCCTCCACGGCTTCTACCCGCCTCGCCTCTTCATGGCTGTTTCACTTGCGCTTATCAGCTATCTTGCTGTTGTGTTCAAGTTTGATGCCAATGCACATGGCTGCACTCCTTTGCTTGGTTCTATCTCTGGGTTGCTAAAGGGTGCAGCTTGAGTTTTCATGCGGACAGAAACACTTGATACTGATGAAATCTTTTGAAAGTGTGAAACACTTTCTAAAAATAAAGATTGTGAAAGCGCAGCTGATCGTAGTGAAGCAAGGCAACTGCGAATGCCTCTTCCCGAGTACATAACGAGGGTTGGAGGCCATTTGGCCTCCACCCACGTCTTCATTTCGGAACTTTTCAGTTCCGCTTCATTCTCGTCCAACCACTTCCGTTCACAACTTCTCTTAATTCTCACTCATGCTTAATTCCCACTCTAGAAGCACGGAGGCAACGCTAGGACAAGTGCTGCAGCAGCGTAACTTATACATTAGCTACTACGCGCGTCAACTGCGGAGGGTACAGCATTGCGCCCGCGATGCACTTGGCGTACGCGCAACTGAGAAAGAAGTGCGCATGAAGCAACGGCCACTGGCGCATCAGTGACGAAATCGCCACGTGCGCCAGTGGTGTGCGCTAGTGACGAAATCGTCACTTGCGCCAGTGGCGCTCGTGTCTGGCGAAATCCCCACTTGCGCCACTGGCGCGCGTGTGTGGCGAAATCGCCACTTGCGCCACTGGCGCGAGGGTGTGGCGAAATCGCCACTTGCGCCAGTGGCACGCGTCTGTGGCGAAATGGCCATTTGCACCAGTGGCGAAATCGCCATGGACGAAATGGCCAGTGGCACGGCAGTCAAGAAACTGCTACTGCCGCGCCTAAGGCGTTTGACTGGGCGTCAACCACCAACGATCCCAGTGGAGCACCCTTGTCACCTCACCAATTATTTCGTTGCATATAAATCGTTTCAACTTCTTTTCATTTTTTTTTTTTCCTTCTTCTTCTTCTTCTTCTTCTTCTTCTTCTTCCAGTTCTAATTTTTACTCTCATTGCCTATAAATCTCGATACCCCCTTAACTCTCTTGATGGCAGAAAAACCGGAACAAGATGGAAAGCCGTTGATTGAAGTCGCGCGGAAAAATTGCAACGACGACGGGATCAACTGCACGCACATCGAAAGGAGGGGCCGGGAGCCGCCCCTAGGGGGGAAGGGACCGAGGGTTCGCAAGTTGGCCTGAGAGCCGCCCCCAGGGGGGGAAGGGACCGAGGGTCCCCAAAGTTGGCCTGAGAGCCGCCCCCAGGGGGGGAAGGGGACCGAGGGTCCCCAAAGTTGGCCTGAGAGCCACCCCCAGGGGGGGAAGGGGACCGAGGGTCCCCAAGTTGGCCTGAGAGCCGCCCCCAGGGGGGAAGGGGACCGAGGGTCCCCAAAGTTGGCCTGAGAGCCGCCCCCAGGGGGGGAAGGGGACCGAGGGTCCCCAAGTTGGCCTGAGAGCCGCCCCCAGGGGGGAAGGGGACCGAGGGTCCCCAAAGTTGGCCTGAGAGCCGCCCCCAGGGGGGGAAGGGGACCGGGGGTCCCCAAGTTGGCCTGAGAGCCGCCCCCAGGGGGGGAAGGGGACCGAGGTCCGTGAACTTCGATATTTGGCAAAAAAAAAAAAAAAAAATCTAAGTAAAGGTTCTAAGTATGCTGGCCAGAGGGCCACCTTCTTAGGGAGGGAGGATTTGCGGACCCGATGAGATGGGGAAAACCCCAGTTATTGTGTATGTGGATCCGTAGTATCATTGGCTATTATGTGTACAATATGATAATAGTGAAAAAAAAAAAGGAGCAATTTTGGTCCTAATCGGATGTTGAAGCCACAAACTATTTGACTGACTTTGGTAAGGTTGGTAGAGTGCAACTACCGTACCGGTAGTAAGGACATCTATGGGATCCTACTTTATCACGCACCTACACTGCACGACGAGGAAGGAGAGAGTGTCATGCAACCATTATTCACTAGTACGATGACTTGTTTCGTCACACATTCCGAACAATAGGGGGGAAAGTCAAACATGTACCGAATGTCAAGGTAATTTACCTTCCACTACCGGTAATCGTTACGCTTCGACAATATAATTGTTGACTGGAGCCACGAGTCAACAGTAACATGGTGTGGCAGTGCAGCCAATGCACCTCTTGTCGCTTTTCTTGTGCAACCATCATATACGGTCCAAGATAGAGAGGAGCAACCGATGGGCCATGAGACGAGCAACCGATGGGCTAGGAGACGAGCAACCGATGGGCCACGAGAAAAAGCAACCGATGGGCCATGAGACAAGCAATCGATGGGCCACGATACGAGCAACCGATGGGCCACGAGACGAGCAACCGATGGGCCACGAGACGAGCGGCCGATGGCCCCCCGATAGGCCAACGGGCCAGCAACCAATGGGGACGAGACGAACAGCCGATGGGCCACGATACGAGCAACCTATGCGCCAAGAGGCGCGCAACCGATGGGCCAAGAGACGAGCAACCGATGGGCCACGAGACGAGCAACCGATGGGCCACGAGACGAGCAACCGATGGGCCACGAGACGAGCAACCGATGGGCCACGATACGAGCAACCGATGGGCCACGAGACGAGCAACCGATGAGCCAAGAGAGTAGCAATTGATGGGTTAATGGACAAGCAACTAATAGCCCACGAGATGAGTAGCCGATGGGCGACGAGACGAGCAACTGATGTGCCACGAGACGAGCAACCGATAGGTCAAGAGACGAGCAACCGATGGGCCAAGAGACAAGCACCAGACGGGCCAAGAGACGAGAAACCGATGGGCCAGTAACGCATGGCTGGAGGTTTTGTTATGCGACATTTTTCTTACAAACCCACACCCTTTCGGATCTCAACTTGATACAAATGATGCATACCGTACCGGTCCCGCAAGCATCATCTTTCAATATCAGCCACTTCCCTACGAACACACCTCATTCTGGGCCCCCCTTAGTTCCTCAAGCTAAAGATCTCGTACTCGGTGCCAATCGCAAATATGAAAGTTTCAAACTAAAGCATTGATTTTTTATAACACGTCACTAGTCCAAGACCCTACACCGCGTCATCGACCAAACAACATCAAAAATCGCGGCTCCAGTCGACGCGCAACACTGGGAGCTTCATCATTGATACATGGGCCGTCTTCAACAACCATCTTCTCCACCGCGCATGCCAGCATACCAAACATTCTAAACCACGGGCCCCCTCTCCACCAACAACGATGGGCACATACATCTACCAAAGGAGGGAGCAACTCGCATAACCACGTCGACAGGGAATGCAACGACCTGCACCGACAACTGATATCACTGGACATCGCCATCAACCTGTCAGATTTATTTGACATAGCTGCTGTAGGCTATAGTGGGGTAGCACATATGGGGTACAGTTTTCTAGGGTTTGCACTTGTACCCAACTTTCCCTTAGCCAATTCATTCCTCGTTATTTAACATGGTATAGAGCGGGTTCCCTCGTGGGAACGCTTCCTAGGGCCCACCAATCGAATTTTTTATTTTCCTGCCCGGAGCGCGCTTCGCTCCTGCCCGAGTCGCGCCCCGCGTGCCCTCCCTACCGTCGCGCCCTCTCTAGGCCCCTTACGGCCCCTTCGCGTCGCCCTTAGCGGCCCCTCTGACGGCCCTTCCAGCCGCCCTTTACGGCCCCTCGTGCCGCCCTTACGGCCCCTCGCGCCGCCCTTCCGGCCCCTCGCGCCGCCCTTACGGCCCCCTACGGCCCGTCACCGCCCCTCGCGGCCCCTCGCGCCGCCCTTCACGGCCCGTCGCCGCCCTCCGCGGCCACTCGCGGCCCCTTCACGGCCGGTCGCCGCCCTCCGCGGCCCCTCGCGCCGCCCTTCACGGCCCGTCGCCGCCCTCCGCGGCCACTCGCGGCCCCTTCACGGCCGGTCGCCGCCCTCCGCGGCCCCTCGTGCCGCCCTTCACGGCCCGTCCGCCGCCCTTCGCGGCCTTTCTCGGCCCGCCGTCGCCGCCTCTACAGCAGCAGCACCTGCAGTCGCTACAGCGACCGCGGCCGCAGTCCCAGCAGCAGCAGCATCCGCCGCCCCTGCAGCAGCGCCCGCCGCCACTACAACCGCGGCCGCCGCCGTCACTGCAGGAGTGGCCGCCGCCGGCCCTGCAGCAGCAACTGCCGCCGCCGCTGCAGCAGCGGCCGCCGCCGTCCTGTGAGCAGCAGCCGCAGCTGC